CCTCTGACTCCATAAGAAATGGGCTGAGGATTCCAAGTAGACCAAGACCCCTCACACTCCCCTGGAATAGTTTTCTGCATTGTCTGAACCTGAAGTCTAAGGAGGAGCCTCCATTCCCTACCTCTGCAGTTGCCTGCATGTAGTTTCTCAAGGGCAGCAACCATCTGCAGCCTCAAGGGAGCCAACCAAGGCAAAACTATTCCCCTTATGGTTGGAAAGAAAAAGGAGAAAAGAGCCTGGTCCTCACAGGCATTGTTGAGCCACAAAATTAACCAGGGCTAGAGTTTTCTTAGCTCCAAGTTTTTACCATGCAAAATAATAAATGTACTTAAAACATCTAGCTTGATATTCTATAATTCATAGCCAAATATACCCAAACATGTATTCTTAAAATAATCTCAGGGCCAAGGAGGCCTTCTAACATGACACAAAATTCATAAGGCATCAATAGAAGTATTCATAAAATTCACCCCATGGCATATAAGGATCATAATTATAAAAATCAGTAAACACAAATTGTAATATGTTTACAGTATATTTGAATTATGTAAATCTATATGTAAATTATATTTGTAATAACATCATATAAAATCAGTTGACTATGAAAATAAAGCTTTAAGTAGGCAAAAGATACCATATACAATATAAAAAAGGCAAGAATAAAAAATCTCTTTCAACTTATAGCAGAGACAAAGGACAAATGTTCATAACGCATAAAGTTTCTAAAAGCAGGAATTTAAAAAGCCAATTATCCTATAGCAAAACTGCATCTCAAGAAAATATTCTAATACTCTTTACAGAAAAAGACATTCACCCTCCTCCATTATGGGAGAATGCAAGTTACAACTGCACAAATAAACCTGCCTAAGTATCCAGTAGGTAATTTAGTTACACGGAGAAGAATTATTTTAAGGAACCAAAATAATCATAGCACACATCCAGAGTAGGTTACACCAAGGGGTACAAAGAAGTTTTCAATACTTATGTTATTAGCAATAATAACATCATTATTTTTAAATGTTATACACCTAGTAGGATAGAGCAAATCTAATGTTACTGTCATTTTAAAAATCAAGATTTTTCAGACACAGAGGAAAGAGTTCAAATACAAAAAGCAATGTGGTTAGATAGAAAAATGGCATCACCAGTTAGAATTCCCAACATGAACTCATGATATATTTTTAGTTTGGAAAACAAGAATACCTGTTTTATAGAAATAGTCTCTAATTCAGTATCAGTAACATCTCTAATGCCTAAATTGCCATCTAATTACTAGCCCCCAAAGCTCTGAAAGAACAGCAAATGTTGATAAGTCTAAAACATGTTCTATTAGGAATTAAAGAAACTCTTGAAGACTATTCACCTAATGCTATTAGGGCCTGGGAGTCAATCTGGTAGACAAATTTGAATAAGAACAAGGAATAACTGTGAGTGTGGTGTGCACACCTCCACTCCCAGCACTAGGGGAGGCTGAGACAGGAGGATCCCCAGTTTGAGCGCAGCCTGGGCAATCTAGAAACTTAGCAAGAATGTGTATCAAAATAAAAAATAAATCGGCTAGAGATATAGGTCAGAATGAAGGCTCCCCTGTACTCAAGCCCCAGTATTGAAGGGGGAAAAAAGAAAAGGAAAGGCACAAAAGAAAAAGAAAAAGAAAAAACTGCCATTACTGGAAACTACCTCTCCCCAAATTTATAATAAAATCTGCCACGAAAGGGAAAATAATTTCATGGATCACATTTGAAGAGTGCCAGAAAATTAACTCCTTTTTCTGAAACTGATAGAGAATCAAATTTTATCTTATTTGTCTTATATTCATTGTTCCTTGGGAAATCTATAGTTAAAAAGAGGACTCTTCCCAGGAGTATGGCAGCTGATGCACAAGGAACGGAAGTGCAGCCCTCATCCAGTCTCCAGCACGCGAGCACACAGAGTTCCGAGGTGCCCCTCAACCACCAGGTGAAGGCTTTCTGACAGAGAAGCTCACAGCTGCACCCCGCTCTCAATTTTAGCGTCACGAAACCTGACACAACCAGATGCCAAGTGACTGATAGACAGATATGACTTGATTCCCAGGATTCCTTTGTTCCTGTCCCTGTCGCAGGGCAATGGTGGCTCCTGCTTCGAATGCCCAGCACGGCCCAGTAGGCCAAGCCCTGCTGTACAGCTAGACATAACACCCCCGTGTCCACTGGGGCCTTGACCAACAGACATAGCTACAAGTGCCCGGCTGAACAAGGAATACATCTGCACAGCGAACAGGAGTCGGCCACACACTCGCAAAGGGATTGTTGTGGAATCGAAAACTGTGCCCAGCTGGACACCAAGCATAGGTAGTGCCCACATCAACAGCGGCCAAGCAAGGCTGACTTCTCAGGGTACAACTGAACACATCACTCAGCAGGCCAGATCACAAAATTGAAGAAGAATGGACTACTGGGGACTTTTCTAAGTCCAGCTACTCACTTAAGACAGGTGCTATATTAAAAGCCAGTGTTTTATGATAGAAAATTATGGCCATGGAGAACTCCCTGGAAACAAGCTATCCAAGACCCTGATCCCAGACACCCCAAACAGCTTCTGATTATTACGTGGCCTCCTGTTGGACGCACCTATAGGGAACACATGGCCAAATAGTCCTCTGGGCTGTCACATTTCTCATGCCAGTGAATGACTCTGGTGGCCCCTCAGTCCATCTGGGGGAATGTTAGCATAAGTCTGCTGGACCTAACTCTATGGGGCAATGCTGAAAAGCCACTCTGCCTCCAGTTCCTCACAGGAGAACACTGCATGTGCTCTTGATTTTCCTGACGCCCTCCAGGGTCCTGACAAAGTCAAGGAGGTCAAGAGCTTTGTTCGCCTTACCAGTGGTTTACCTTGGGCACCTGGGAGACTGCTTGCACACACTGCTGGCACAGTGCAAATCTATTAGATGAAGAAGGAATGGATGGCAGGGAGTGCCAGGAGAGAGCCAGACTCCAAACGTCCTGAGAGGTTGGCAGCAGATGCCAGCTTTGACAAAGCCTTTGGAACCTCATCAGGACAAGGCAGTGTCTGCAAAGCAGCTGAAACTGAGACTCGGGTCGCCAGGACTTGGAAGCAACTGCCTGTTGAAAAGGCCAACAGGCAGCGCTCTTTGGGTGGTAAGAAAGAGCTGAAACATGGTTACTCAAAGGGCAAGCCACAGTACCGAAAAGGAAAGCAGTTGGTTAATCAAAGAGGTAAACCGGGGCACCACTGGAGAAAGGAGATCCTACCATTTTCGAGGGAAAAAAAGGGGGAATGATACATGACATTCCTTTGAGACCCCACAAATACGAAATACGCCCTTTGCTCAGCACTGTTCTGCCTCCAGAATAGCCTCACTGCTACCCTTTCTGAGGAGGGTCTGCCTGTCCGTGGAGGAAACCTGCTGTTCTACCTGCTCTGCTCAGGGGTGGCCAGCTGTGTTGCTTCTCTGAATGCAGCTGTGTTTCATCTTTTGCTCTAGGTCCAGTCCATTGCTTGAGATGAGGATTTGCATGGCTGTGATGACAGCACTAGACACGTAGTGGACCTCGGGGAGTGGGCAGCCCTCCACTCAGCTCCGACCCTCCAGCCTGCATGCCTCTAGCCAGCTGTGCTGGAATACAGGTTTCATATTCCTAGTAAGCTAAATATGAAACAGAGTTTGCAGGCAGGAAGCTCATTAAGGACATCCTTCAGAAAATACCACACTCCTTTGTTAGGGTCCAAGGGTCACTTGAGCTACTCTTAGCCATCTCTGTTGAAGCTGCAAGCATTCAGGAATTTTTCAGATCTAATCCACAGCAACAACAACTTCCTTCATTGTAGCAAAACATGTCTAGGAAGAATAGACCCATGGTGGTGGCCGTGTGACCTAGAGCCAGGCAGCTTGATCATAACTAATCATTTTTTATAGGAAATGTTCCCTTTCAAGGTTTTTAGAGTACCACTTAGTAAAAACAAAATGTACTAAAGGTTTTTGATTTAGGTCTGTTTCCACCAGGTATGGTGGCGCGTGCACATCCTCCCAGCACTTAGGAGGAGGAGACAGGAGGACGCCAGGGCAAGCCAGCCAGGGCCACACACTGAGTCCAGTTCAGCTACATAGTGAGACCCTGTCTCAAAATCTAAAAACCAGAAACAACAAAGCAACAGAGAAGGTTTTTGCTTTTTCTTTTTGTAAGACAAACGCATAAAAGTAAATGATGACAGAAGAAGAAACTGATGTGGTATAAAGTAACTCGTGTGGCTGAGCCATGCTAAGAATAGAGTCCCAGCAGACTTGCCAAGTCCCAGAACATGCTCACCCGTAGGTCTCAAAGGCCTCCCAGCAGTCCGGGAAACAAAGGCCTCCGCGCGGAAGCTGATTAGTGCTTAGTAAACAAGTTGGATTATTTTTCTTCCTGCCAATTTCAGGGCCACCTTCTACACAGCTTGAACGTGAGCTCTTGACGGCAAAGACACACAGTTCACTTTCTCAGGGCAATTCAGCTTCCAAGGCGAATGCGGGCAGACCGGGAGGAACAGCATGGGTCCGGTTTTGCGTCTGGGTTGGCAAATCCAGAAAAGTGTGCTGAGTCATGAGTTCCTAAGGAGGAAAGACTTGGACAAGAGTAAGCTGGAGATCCCAGGAACCTCGTTCTTCTAAATGAAACCCTTGAATATAAATATTTATCCCACACCTGTGCCCAGGGATGCTGAGCACCTCTTCAGGTACAGCACTAGGAAACCCCTTCTTGAGAATAAAGACATCGAGAATAGTAGCAGTGGATGTTTCCTGGATGCTTATCATGGGCCCAGCACCCCAACACATTATCACATCTAATTTCCACTATAACCCATGGCATCTCTTTTAAGTGAGGAAACTGAGGCTTTGGGAGGCAAATGATTTGCACACTGTCACCCAGCTGCAGTGACAGAGCTAGGATTTGGACCCCAGCCATGTGGATGTGAAGTCATGCCTACCCTTCATGAGCATGGATACTGTACCCCACAATAGTATCTGTGTTCGTGCATCGCTGATCACCATAACCAGCTGTGGTTAACTCTTTACTCAAAGATCTTATATCCTTCATACACAACTGACCTACAGGGAAAGGTCCCAAATTATGCTTATGGAGAAACTGTTTTCACAGGGCTGTTAATGTAAATTGTGAATTTTATGTGCTCGATGTAATGTTCTTCCTAAAAACAGAAAAAAGGAAGTGAGACATTCTCTTCTTCAAAATAGAGCTCTCCTCCATTTTCTGGAACATTCTGCTGTGGACAAGCCCACTGCTGTAATTGGGGGCCATCAAGCTGCCCCCGCTCGTGGAACTTCTTCGTCGGCACGCACCAATCAGTGATGACCTTGCAGCGCTGCAGCTCCTGGTCCTTGGGAATCGCTCCTCATGGGCTCTTCACCACTCTCCTGACCTCCCCACAGGGAATCAGATGGCACCTGGCACCTTGCAGCTCATGGGGAGAGGGAGGAAACAGGGGGCCTGGAGCCAGCGTGGCGCAGCCAGGGTGGAGGGTGCCTGAGCAGCCCCCACCACACCTTTCCCAAGCTCGGCCCAAGCCACTTCCAGAGCAGCAGAGTCACAAAAGGAAGATTTGGTTCTGATCAAAGTAAATTTTGTTAAGCATGTGTTTTAAATGCCACGTCTAGGGATAGACAACTCCCATGAAAAGTGATTTGCATAACAGTGACTTCTCTATTCACAAAGCAAATAGGAGCAGAAGCAACCCCCCCCCCCCAGGTAGGCCCTACATCCCAGCCACATTAGAAATCAAAGGGCTTCTTTGGCTTTCTAGACAGTAAAATCATTATATAAGTACAAATTTCTTGTACTTATGTTTCGATCATCATGACAATTATATTATTTATTATAAAGTGTCATAATCTCTAGTCACGGGTTATCATTAGCTACAAACAATATAGGCTTGGAATATATTTTAAAAATTCTATAAATCATTAAACCGAGCTTAGCAGTTTGAGACTATAATCTCACTACTCGGTAAGAGACTGAGGTAAGAGGATTCCTTGCGCCTAGGAGTTTGCGATCAGCTTGGGCGACACGGCGATACCCTGTCCCAAACAGGGAAAAAAGAGAATTGCACAAGTGAGCAATGAGGTCTTTATTAGTAATGTCGGAGAGGAACATGTCCTCTTTATCTTAAGAGCATTATGCAGGCCTGACATGCCAGCCTTTGAAGGCACCAAAGTTAATTTTAAGCATGTTCCTCTTGACAGAACACCTAGTTCTAGAGTCTGAGCTACGTCAGATAATTTATATATTTACATCCAAGTGAAGTGTCACTCTGTTAGGAAGAACCTAAGAGAAAAGAAAGCAACTAAACTGACGCAGGCCGGGCGTGACGGTGCACACCTGTAATCCTAGTACTAGGGAGGCTGAGATAGGATCACTGTGACTTGCAGGTCAGCCTAGGCTACCTAGTGCATTCAAGGCCAGACTGAACTACAACAGCAGCAAGACCTGCCAAAAGAAAAGAAAAAATAAACTGATGCAAAACAAGCAAAAATATTTTATTGTAGCTTAAAATTCATTCCCTCAACAATGGCTAACGCATACGCTGGACAACATTAGTAGATACGATGATGTTCAGTCTGGATACTTATCAACATTGATGAATGTGAAGAAGTCAGAAAAGTCAAGCTTTTTCAGGTCACTGGATTTTCTAGAACCTACTATTGGCAAAAAGGACTTTCCACACAGAAACATATTTTTTTCTTTTCAATGTCATTTATTTACTAACCTTTTCAGTGGCTAACAATGAGGTACAGAAAACTTTCCAGAAGTCTGAGCATGCACGGCAGAGCTCTGAGGTGCCCCAATGCCCCCTTATTGCATTAAGACTAACACCTGCGTGACTCCTCCATCCTACGAGGACAGCCCTACTGGCCTACCTCCCCAAGGGGCTGGGAGGTTTCATGCTGATAAAGTGCTTCAGGCGCCTTCCAAGGAAAGCAATGTCGAAGTATAAAATAAAACAATCATGTATTTCAAAAGAAATGAAAGGACAAATTTGGCACAATGGGAAGGGTCTCTCTTATTTAAAGAACATGTAGCTATTTATAGAAATCCCTGGCTTTGTGGCTTTTAAGAGAATACATGCTTTTCTATTGCCAATCTCATAAAAGCCATTCGCAACCCAGACTGTTAACAGAATCATTTGAACTTGTTAAAAAAAAAAAAAAAGAAAAGAAAAAAAAAGATGCTTGGGCCACTGCCTAGTCTGCAGAATTAAGTCTCTAAGCCCAGGCCCCAAGCCCCCGTATTTTTAAAGGATCAGTAAAGAATCCTGATGTATACCAATGTTTAAAACCCATTTCTTTGAAGGAAAATATCAATTTATTAAATGTTTTCTTTCTGGAACTTATTTGAGTGATGTTAGGTAAGTGTTTCAATTTCTAACTGCCTCTTTCCCTTCCTATGTTGCATGTAGACTTAGGGCCAGCATGCACCCGTGTATGCATGCGCGCGTACACACATACACACACACACACACACACACACACACCACCTATTCACTTGAATCCACCCTTGAATTAAAATGTGATGGAGGAAAAATCTGATCATGGCAAACAAACCCCTCACCCGGAAGCTATGCACGCACGCACGCCCCGTCCCCACTGGGCCAAAAGCACATGGAGGTGCCCACGTGCCACGTGGAATGGTTGAAATCTGCATTGCCTGCCTGGGAGCAGGCGAAGCCAGAGCTCCCCGCGATGCGAGTAGATGCTGGCACCGCAAGGGAGCCCAGGCTCCTCCTCCGCCTGGAGTTGCCGCCGGCAAACACCCTCGATGGAGCCATTGGCGTGCAGAGGGCG